GAGAGAGAAAGAGAGAGAGAGAGAGAGAGAGAAAGAGAGAGAAAGAAAGAGGGAAAAAGAGGGGGGGAGAGAGGAGAGGGGGAGTGAGAGAGAGAGAGAGAAGGGAGAGAGAGACAGATAAGGAGTGGGACAATGAGTGAGTGGGGGGAGGGGAGAGGGAAATAGGGAAAGAGAGGGAGAGAGAGAGAGGAGGGAGGGAGAAAGAGAAAGAGGGAGAGAGAGAAAGAGGGAGAGAGAGACAGATAGACAGACAGAGAGAGAGAGAGGGGGGGACGGAGAGAGAGACGGGGAGCAAGACAAGTGAATGTCTTGGACAGCGTTAAACAGATAAAATGCGATGGGAAAGTAGTGTGAGGTGGTTGTTTAAACAGGTGATTGTCTTGGAAAGGTGGCTGTAAGGAGCAGGCTTTACTGTAGTATACTTTCATCGTTAGGAACAAAACTACATGAACATTTTTCATTTCATCCGTACAGTAAAGGTATGCTTCCACCATTTGACAAATCTTTGAAAAACTTTTTTAAAATGCCGTAACTTGTTTTTCAATCAACCACCATATGTGTACCTTAGGTGAACTTGCACAATAAACAAATAATTAAAACTTATATAACCACATATTTTTTAATCTATGCTTTAAAAAATATATATCTTCCTCAAAAACAAACACAGAGATTATTAAGTTTCAAACTTTGAATAATGTGAGGTGCTTGAAATTCAAAATCAGGGTAAAAATCAAGATTTTGCATCATAAGTTTTTTGCACAAATTACAAGAATAATGAAGGGAAGGATGAAGCAGATTGAATAAGAAATAATTAAGAAATAGGCACTCTAATGCTGAAACTATGCACACGATTAATTAACCCAAAAGAAAGATGGAGGACTTTCAAGACTTCCCCATATGGAAACCAAACTCACATCTTTTGCGTCCAACAGTGAACAGCCTGTTCTAGTACACCAAGGACAATGCAAAAGAGGTTTATCTTTAAAATCATTGAGCGTGAATAAAACATTGTCTACACAGTTGCAAGAATTGAAAGTTTGACCCCGATAGATGCCCTTGATCTTTTTACTGTTAATCTGCTCGCAAGTAAAACTAAAGAATGAATAGCACTACATAATAATTACTGCATATATCTCCAAGAACAGAAAAATGGAGGTGGAAGGGTTTTTTGGGGGGTTTTCATTATGCTGCAAGCTAAGCTTTCCACAAAACCCAAACCTGTTTTATTTCTTTTGCAACGCAAAAATAGGCCAACTGATATGATAGAAATGCACACACGTAACAGTTAGGAGAAACATCCTAAAAGCATAAAAACTCGCAGTTTGCTGCTTCTTAAAAGTCAAGAAGGTTTTTTAATTGCCGGAAAAGTCAAGGAGATTTTGAAATTATGCTAGGTGTTATACGGTTATAGCACATAAGTAACCTACTGCTAATACAGAAACTATGCTATAAATTACTCAGATTAAAAAACCAACATGTTTAATTTTGAATTTTAGAACTTCTCAAGACTAAACAAAAAAACATTTATTTTTTTTTTTAACAGGCCAACTAATCACACAGAGATCTCTGCCATATTTTTAGGGTAGGACGTAAACAAGAAGAGCAGCCAACTGGTAGTTCCAAACTTTTCTTGAGTTTCATACTAACTGAATGGAATAAACAGTATAAAATATAGTCTAGGCCTATTACACAATTTTCATTATATCTCTAAAAATTTTAATGTAAACGGTTTGATTGTAAGTCAAGACACAATTGCTGTCAGTCAGTCACAATATGACAATGTTACAGGACTTCTAAACAGAATCAAAATTAGAAAACTGCAGCCACATAAAAACACTTCATTATCATACTTCTAAAAGAGATAGTAGACTAGAAGGCAAGCTAGAAGGAACAAGAGCAGTTGGAAGGTTGAGACTGCGATAGACTGACAGCCCATAAAGTCATGGGCAGCGGGATTGTAGGATGAACGGTGTACCATGGGCTAGAGCAGCAGTGGCGAAGCGTCTATAAAATGAAATAATCATTGCTTCCCTTCCCTTCCTAATTTTGAAACATTGCCACAGTCAAATTCACCCATAGACGTAAACCTCATAAATTAAATGTCAAAAAGACGATCAAAATCACCAATGAACAGTATGCCTAACATTCAAAACGGTTTCATTGTCACAGAAATAGCCTGTTCACCCCTATCGTGTCACTCCATAAGCAGTCGCAAGCTTTGATTATGTAAGCTTACAGTGAGGCTGGAAGAGTCTACCAAAATTGTTGAAGGGAACATGTGTGCAACAGTCAAAACTGTTCCATAGTCACATACCCTGTTCATCCCTTTCGGGCCACAGCTATATTCAGTCTCAAGCACTGATTATGTAAGCGAAATATAACACTGGTCGAGTCTACCTCACAGATGTGAGGGTAAGTAACTCCTAATAATATATATATATTGACTGCTGCGAGTGCTTGTTTTTTCGCTCGACTTTTTACCGTCCTATAATCAGATCGTGACCTCGATTATGACACCGGCTCCTGGCCGCGATCGAAACGCTAGACAAAAACTGCCAAATGTGAAATAAAAAATTAATAATTGTCATGTTCTACCAAAGAGTTTTAGGCTCACTGGTATTGGTATTACATCTGTAGTACTGACTGACATCTCTGCTTCTTTGCTTTGTGTTAGAGTATTCACATCTATGATCTAAAGACAAATTTAATGTTTGTTGAAATAAATATTTAAAGAGATACTTTCCCGATTATTTTAGCAGTTGAACATGCATACAACATGAATTCAGGATTTGTATTCATTCACAACTCAGTGATGCCGCCTCGAGTAGGATTCGTGTGTGATAGATCTATCTCCAGGCCCTATCTGGTCCCATCTCACTTAGATTACCCTGTCAAACAAGTCAGCCTTCGCCCCTGTAGAGCAGCTGTTGAGAAACAATTATTTAATAGCCTATAATGAAAATCGACTGATCATTGCATGTTAATTTCAGAAGCCTCCGAGGCAGAGATGACATCTCGACCAACCAATAGTCAAAAGGTAAAGGATAGAATGCCCCATATAGATAAAACTCACTTCATTTATCTTTTTATTTCAGTATTAGTTTATTTGCATGAGTAGAGCATGGTTAAATTATTAATTATTAGTAGTATTAAGTTATAATTAAGTGTATGGTGAAGTAAGTGTAAGTAGGCCTACCAGTAGCCAGTAGCATTTATTTTGGATGTAGGCTATGCTGTGGCTATTATATAAACGAGGGCATGCGGTAGAATGCCAAATTTTCTACTTCTACCATTATAATATAATCACCGAGACCTTGGTTGATAATAATGACAGAGAAACCAGTCCAAGTTAATAATAAATTAGTTTTAAAACAAGAAAGTTGGAAAGTCAAAAGTGTCCTAGAAATTTGAACAAGATGAAAAGTAGCCTACCGCAACAAATTAAACTGATAAAGACCTCTCTATAAGGGCTTCTGCCAAATCTAAAAGCCATTCAAAATC